TGAACAAGAACTGTAGCTGCAAAAATGGAACAGATTTCTGATTGCTGTGCTCTCAGGTTTGAGTTTTTGGACATCTTCACTCCCGTGGAGCTTAAATCACTTGTGTTGACCTGTGCAATTTAGTTTTGTCGCTTGTGAATACTTTGGTCATCCAGCACTTGTGTCGATTAACACAAACCTCCCATTCAAAAATAGAAAGCATTCTTCTCCCTAGAGCTGCGGAGATTACCTTTCCATGTGGACCAGTGCAGCAGAGTCTTTCCTGAAGCTTTGCCTCAGCAAGCTCGTGCTGCTATAACGTGACCGTTAATTGTTGGGTTCCAAACCTATAGTCATACCTCTACTTTTGACGTAGTTGTAAGGAATAACTATTCCATTCCACTGCGGAGAAAACTCTGTCGGTATTAGTTACCTATAAATTGGACTGTCTCCACTTTTCTACAGTTCTACATATAGATGGTTGCAGTTTATAAACCAAAATAATGATAAATGGTACAAAGAAACATATGTAGAGTAGCCCTTGGGAGTTTGCCTCCGAAATGATTTTGAGAAGGGCTAATGTCTTTAATTCATCTCTCATGAGCTAACTCCAAAGACTTTTGCTGACAGTTTAAGTGCTCTTATTGCTAGAGGATGACTTGCCAGGAAAAGGATTTTAAAAATCTGGATTTCTGCCCATTTTTGGGGGTATCATTGTAACTATATTGTCTTGAAAATTTGATCTCCTGAAATACCCAAGGTAAGGAGTCTTTTAGAAAAATCAGACTTCATCAGTGCTGGGCACTGTACCGGTTTCACTATTTTGTTTTTGAAAAAACAGAGCACACCCTCTTCTGCCCCCAAACGCGGGGAGGTGATTGGATGCAGAACGCCGCAGGTAGATCCCCGGGTTCATCCCCTCCTTGTCCTCTGCTGCTTTGTCCTTTTACAGCAGGAGCGAAGAACTTGTCAGTTGTGTTTTCCCTTACGAATTTATGGATGAATAAGCATTAGATTTATAGCCTCAGACATGCTGAGAAAGTGAAAGCTGATTAGCTGAAGAGGGTAATATGATACGACTCAGACTGCTCACATCCTCATTTTTTTCTTTTTCTAATACCTGGTTGTCTCAAAAATGTGTCAAACCATTGGAAGGAAAGTTCTGCCACTAAAGATGCAACGTTTTCACCCCATCCTTTAATGCCTGGGAAAGCCTCTTCTCCTCCGCAGAGGACAAGAAAGGTAACATCAGGCACTCCTAATAGTCATTAGACAAATGCTCTTAAAAAAAATAATAAATCAGACTTCCTTCACTCTAGTGAAACCAAAAAGGGCCAAACCTATTTTTTCTTTTTCTTTTTCTTTTTCTTTTTAACTGTTTCACGTCTGATTTGTCCTAAAGAAGGTAACCACATGTCTCAGTGGATACACATGTGGATGTGTATTCCCACACAAATAAACTGTCAGTATTAAGGAGGCAGATGGGATTTCTGACACTGCTTGGGTTTGGACACCTCAGTACCCAATTAGAGTTACCTTTGGAAGGATTTTTCTGTCGATAAAAGACCCTCCCCCAAGAAACTGCAGTGAGGAGAGAAGACATCTATAGGTAAAATTTAAAAATACATAAAAACCAATTTGTGACCATCTTATGGGTTCTACCTTCCAAATGATTAATGATCATTGTGTAGAATTTGATAAACTTTCCAAAAGTTCTCAAACACTTTGCTTACTTCTGTCGGGTTTTATACAAACGTAACACTCTGCAAGTGGCCTTAAAGCGCTCCCAGGGAAGCGAGCCCGAGCCATTGTTCGGTCTAGGCTAAAATCCGAACTGTCTCTCTAGCGTGGCAGGTACCTGAAAACCCGCGCTCGCTGATACAAAACCGCTGCGTGTTCCAAACCAAACTGGCTGCGAGTCTGAGCTCCAGGATGAAGTCATGGGCCGAGAACAATTGCAGCTTTCCAGGCTCTCTGGTGCCAGCAAATGCTCCGCGGGCACGGCGCCCAGCCACGTGTTCCTGTGCAGGCATTTGTGGTAAAGATACTCCCACGGTGATGGACAGGTAGCTCCGATGCACTGGAAAGAGAGGAGAAATTTTTCTTCCTGCAGCCAAACGGAAAAGTTTTCTCAGGTTACTGCTCGCTCTGTGTGCTGGATTAGGCTATTCACCTGTGGCACAAATACTTACGCACGTCATACAGTGCCAACTACAGTAACTTGCCGAAGCGCAGACCTCTGGTGAAAGTTGCTTTGGGGATGATTGACTGCCCAAGCTACTGGGATGCCTTGCTGGGAAAGCATTGCTACGGTGCAGCTCCCTGTCGCTTGGAACACTGGGGCAGATTTATCCCATGTAGCGGTGACTGAAACCGCAGCCCTGAGGTGGCCTTGGGATGCTTTTCTGCCAGAGGCTAGGGGACGTGAGGGGACATGAAGCACTGGCTTCCCAAAGTCTGGGGCAGGAAGAACAGGGGAGATGAACACAAACCCTGAATAAAGTGTAGGACAGGGAAGAGACCTTTGTGCTGAGAACAGCCTGTTTCAGCAGTTGCTTTAATTCTCTGGGGTTGCCTTCTCAAGTGCTCATATATGAGCATCTGAATTGGTGAATCAGGGATTTAATATTTTATTGTCACTTTGAGCCATATCCAGACTTATTTCTTTCTCTGCTCACCGTAAACATTTTGACTTTATGACAAGCATTTCCTATATGTGCTCACGTTTGTGTCAGATAGATTATGGGCAGATTTACCCTCATATGAAAGAAGAACCATTCGCTTTCTCCTTTGGACAGCCATGGGCAAGGCTTTGAAAGCGGTGCCAGTTATCTATGGCTTCATGGGCAGTGGCAGCTGCTGTTACCAAGGTTTTAGTCTGGGAGCTGATCATGCCATGAGTAAAAGAATGGTGCCTGCCCACCGTTATTGCTTCTGCTGCTTAGAGCCCTGCGCCCACCTGGGGAATCCCACCTTACCCAGTCTCCGTCGCGTAGTCAAGCACGAGTATCAGTTAGCGCCTGGTAACAGGGGAGAAAGCCGCTTGGCTGAGAGTTCTGGGCAAGGGTTGTTTCGGTGGTGCCCGAGAAGGTCTGCGTTTGGTTTCTGCCACAAGATTTCCTGGACGCTCTGGGATTGTCGGTGTCTCGCATTTCCAGATAGACATAACAGGGATAGAATACCCTCCTTTTGTCTTGCCCCCTACGACTGCAGCTGCCTGAGGTGTGGGCTGTTGAGGGATGTGTTCGGTGAACAGTGTTTTGTAGTGATTTGTTAAAAAACATTGAGGACAGCTGGAATTCAGATCAAAGCCCTGTGCCTTCAACGCTGAGCACAGGCTTTCTGGTGCGATGCAGTCAAGGTGGCTGAAACATGCACCGTGCGTGGCAGAGCCATCTGGCCAAGATACGCAGTGCTGTCAGCCAGAGGTGGGTTTGGAAGACAAGGAGCAGGCTGGTTGGATGCTGTGACGGTGAGTTAGGCCAGCTACATATCATGCAATGGATGGAAAAATTCTAAATTCTTACCCAAGGACCCTGTGGTTCTTACACCAGCTCTGTCTTCCACCCAGCTTCATAGCTTACGAATCAGACTGGTGAGGTACTACACTTTCCGCGGGAATCATTGTCTCGATAACACAGAGCTTAGGCCAAGGACCCAGAAGCATCACATCCTCAGCCAAGCTGCTTTAGGCAGCACAGATGAGTTGTGCGTTCACCAAGGGCAGCCATTCTTCCAGAGTCAGCTTGCTGGCCTGATGGTTGGGAGAGCAGCAGGGCAAGTGAAATTATTCTGGGGAAAACATCCACAATTTCCCGTGTTTGCAAAAGTGGGGTTTGTTTTCTAGAGGAGTCCGGTGCCCCTGTCCCCACACCCAACTCCGCCGTGGGTGTCCCTGTGCTCTGCACCAATGTTCTTTGTGTCTGGAACTTCACAAGCAGAAGTCGTTGTTTGTGTAGCAAGTCCAGTATTTCCAGGCAGCAGGAGAACTGCTTGTGTGCAGACAATCCAGTGCTGTCTGGACACATCAGACATGCTACAAAGTCACCCGCCAAGTATGCAGAACATGGGCTGGAGGTGTGACCAGCTCCTTTCAGCAGGCTGTGTCTCCTGCATAGGTGCCAGCAACTCACAGCCGGTGTGATGCTTCCTGGAAGCCCCGAACTTACCCTGTAGGGCTGTACGGCACCGGGGATGCAGAGAGCAGCTCTGGCCTGGCTGCTGTGAGCCTAGAAAGATGCCTAGATGGGTGCACAAACTTTTCAATGCCAGCCTGGTGACATCTCTAAGTGGAAAAAAGGAATGATGAGTCCAGGAAAGTCCGTCTGGACAATAACCCTACCTCAGCCAAGTCAGCCTGCGGTGTCTTATGTGGGCGCTGGCAATCAAGCTCTCCCAAGTGAATGGACCCTTTTCAAAAGGTGCCTGGCCAACCCAGTGCCACGGACTACGTGACGAGATGCTGTGAGCTTTCCCTCTTAACCCTTGGGATAGTGAGCAAGGCGTTATGGAAATGCACTCACTGGTGCGTTGGTAACGGCCGCTGCCAGCACAATACACTGCCGCTGGAAAGCAGGAGGCTGCTTGGGCTCAGTGCTGTTCTGAAGCCTTGGAAAGCTTGCTGCATGGGAATCCCCAGAGGGTACGAGGGAGGGAGGAGCAGGGGGGTGTTTGCCTGGAGCAGTAATGAATATATTTTTAGTGGAAGGGAAGGGACGTCTCTAGTCGTGGGATAACAGCTGCGCAATTTCAAAATTCCTCTGACAAGATGCAGCCAATTCCAGGGCTGCAGGGTTTGGAGGGGTTTGTTTAGTTTTTTGTTTTTCCAAGCTTCAAATGCCTTCAGCCAATCTCTTGCTCCCTGAGAGTACTTTTCAAAGCACAGGTGCTGTTTTGCTGTGTTGATGAGGTCTGAATGTGAGCAGTTCCCTGCTACCATCCGTGCTGTGCCCTCAGCATCCCCTAAGCATTGAGCAGGATCCGCTACTTGCTGGAGAAACCTCTTTTCTCTCTCAGAACCAGCTGAGTCCCTCCCTCGTTTCTGGAAGGAGGATTTCAGTGGATTTTGGGTGCTGGGAATTGTGTGGTTAGCTCCCTCACCCACTCCCTCTTTTCTGATTTTGAAACGCAACTGAGGAAGAGAGACTTAAGCCTGCCAGGTCTCGTGTGGAGCCAGGTTTTTCCCAAGGCCCATTAGCAGGCATTTAAAGCACGTGCAGGATCTCCGTTCTGTACTGTGCCCGGCAAAAGCAGCCTCTCTCCTCCCCTGTCTTGAACTCGCACTGGGAGAGGAGCGTGAACCTGTGGGAGTAATGACTGCATTGAGAGATGGAAAGATTTCTATGCCTTGTTGGATTTTTTTTTTTTTAAACGTTTGTTTGCTGAGACAATTCTGGGGACAGAGGGAGAAGGAGCATTGGGTAAACACCGGGAGCCCAGTGCTACCGTTGTCCGATCGCAGACACATGGGGTCAAGTACAGTGTGGGACTCAAGCTGGACAATGTGGGAATCCGGCCATCTACTTTCCATGCTAAGCGTTACCAAGGGAAGGAAATTGCATTGAAATGTTAAACTGTTGCCCTGATTTACATTTTCAGAGGGAAGAACTGGTGGAGTCAGCTCAGGACTCGCAGTAACCTGTGAGGCCTTGGGAACTGGCCGATATTTCAAACAAACAAAGTTCCCTGGCTGCACTGTCAGGTTCTTACCATGTTGCTTATTGTCTCTTTCAACAGATCTCGGAGAATTTACTGCTAAGAGCACTGGCTTCAGCCAGGCATATCAATACCCCCACAAGTCCCCTGCGGTGTGTGCAGTGCAGCCCACAGCACACCCGCAGCACTGTCCTCAGCTGAATTCCTCCTTTCTGTGAAAGACACGGGGTCAGCTTAGCCGGGCTGGTGAGGAAAACTGCTGACTTGTCTCAGTTATTTAAAGAAGGTTGGTGGTGCTGGCCTTCTTGAAAGTGCCGTTGTGGAGCAGAGTGAGGTGCTGTGCAAGGGAATGCCAGCCTGGCTTCTGCCACTCAGCAGAATTTCCCTGGAGCACACCTGAACGTGGACGCGGGGCTGATGGCACTGTGCCCCCGAGTTCTTTTGTGCTGTTTGGCTTACAGATCTACTGCAAGACAGACCTAGCAATTCCCTGCTACAAGGCTGCTCCTTTGCCAGAAAGGAGGAACTACCTCAGCCTTCGGCAAGAGAGCCACGGTGGTCTTCATCACCAAGGGTCAGAGCAGTGCTGTTGATTATCCAGGCTGCAGGATCTATGTGCATGACCAAGTGGGCTGGTGGAGTGATGATTAATACAGATGAAAACTGTATTAACTTCCCTGCTTTTCTGTCACCTATTCATGGCCTAAAGGAAAGGGGAGGGAAATAGGTGGCATACAGTGTCACCGTGGAGTCCTTGCTGTGCTGTGCTGTGCTGCGTGGGTTCTGCACAGCAGTTCAAAGGCCCATCTGAAGAAACAGGCGCTTTTCTTGCTGTCTTCTGGGCCATGGGAAGTCGCTCAGGTGCCAGGGGTTGTTGAATGGTACTGATGTAATTCCCGTTTCCTCTGCTTTGTAGGTACAATGGCTTGGTGACTGGCTCTCGAGCTAAAGGTATCATTGCCATCTGCTGGGTATTATCTTTCATCATCGGCTTGACACCAATGCTAGGGTGGCACAATCGCTCCCAGATCGAAGACCTGGGCTCCAATAAGTCCTCTCCCATCAACTGCAGCAACAGTATGGTGGCATGTCTCTTTGAGGCTGTGGTCACCATGGAGTACATGGTCTACTACAACTTCTTTGCCTGTGTGCTCTTGCCCCTCCTCCTCATGTTTGGTATCTACTTGAAAATCTTCATGGCAGCCCGCCGACAGCTCAAGCAGATGGAGAACAAGATGGTACACGGGGAACGTTCTCGCTCCACTTTGCAGAAGGAAGTCCACGCAGCTAAGTCTTTAGCCATCATTGTAGGGTTGTTTGCAGTCTGCTGGCTTCCACTACATATTATTAACTGCTTTACCCTTTTTTGCCCAAATTGTGCCCATGCTCCCCTCTGGCTGATGTATCTGGCTATTATCCTGTCTCATGCCAACTCGGTTGTAAATCCTCTAATTTATGCCTACCGAATCAGGGAGTTCCGATACACCTTCCGTAAAATCATCAGCCAGCATATCCTGGGCCGGAAGGAGCCGTTCAAGGCAGGAACAGCCAGCTCTAGGACTTCCACTCACGGTGGGGACGCAGAGAACGCCAGCCTACGCATCAGTGAGTATGCATTAGAGGTATACACCAATGGAGAGATCCACAGGGATCCCGAAAAGCAGGACCTAAACAAATGCAAAGCCGGCGTGGAATGGCACCAGAATGGAAATGCTATGGATGTGGAGACAAATGGGCATCTCCCACATTCCTGCAAAAACGGGATTCTCTCAGATGTGTGCATGAACAGGGAGTTTCATGGTGAAGAGCTAATTGATGCCCAGGTGTCTTACTCAGATCTAGAAAGAGCAGCCTTCGCAGCAGCTGATGTTTCCTGATGAGACTTTCAAAGTCTTCCTGGTAGAATTATTTTTTTTCCATTGGTGACCTCTGCTGTGGCAGAAAGGGAGGTTGGGGGGCGGGGGGAGAGGTGTGTATTCAGATTGCTGTGGAGAAAGGGGTCCCTACCCAGGACTGTTGGGAAGATCCTAAATACTAGACTGGAGAAAAGCCAAGAGACCACTGAAACGGACTAAGGAGGGAGGGACACGTTACCCATCGATGGCCTGTCACCAGGAGCAGTGCCAAGGTCAGAGATGGCATTCCAAGTTCAGCACTGGGAGACTCTGCTGATGCAGGGCATACCGTGACATTATGCCGTACTGTGTATCTGTGGTTGTGTGTGGGTTTTGCTGTCTTTACCAACAGAAATAAAAGCATGGCTGGAAGTGTTCACTGAATTGCAAAGAGCAACAAGGAGGGGCCTTTTAGTGCTTTGGCCCTGCAACAAGTGGCAGGGGGATAGCAACATCTGTTGGTCAGGAAGGATGCCAGCAGCTGCTTGGAAAGGCAAGGAATGTACCTGATGGGAACTCTGGATACCTTCAACCATGGCATTTTGTCTTTCAGTTTATGTTTTTAAAGCTTATACTGCAACAGGTTGCTTGAATGTTTTTTTTTTCTTGTCTTGATAAGATTACTCTATATTAAGTTATAAAAGATGGGCAAGAACTCATATCCATTCCCTGAGCGCTCAGTGTTCCAGATGCACAAGGCAAATATAACCTCATAGCTCTCCACTCTGTCTGACAAGTAATGAAAACGGAGACTGTAATATGGATTTCCCTGAGCAAAAGGGCTGTGAGCAGGACTTGGTGCTGCAGACGGCAGACGAGCGGGCCAGGCTGTGGCCTGTGCCACCAGCGCGGTGGTGCTCTGCGGTGGTGCGAGAGCTGTCGGGCGGGTGGGCTGTCTGCAGGCTGGTGGGCACTGTCTGCTTTTTCCCCCCGTCTCTGTGCTTGTCCTCCTGGGCTCCCAGAATGCAAATTCTTTCCCTGGCCCTAAATGTGTGTGAGGGGAGCTAATTTTCTGTATTTTGGTTGTTTTCTTCCTCACTCAAAAGGCTGTGGGGTTTTTTTCTTCTTTCTCGGTGTAGGGAGGAACACACACCCCTAACACTTATTTTGGAAATTCCAAAGAGCTCTATTTAATCACCTTTTCTCCTGTGATTTCAGTTTTTTCCCTGATGTGCTTTACTGTGAAGCCCGATGTGTCCCTGCGGTGCAGAGGCCAACGGAGCTGGGTCTGTCTGGTTAGAAGATGCTCCTATTCTGAGAAGCTGAAAGGCGTCAGTAGTAGTGGAGATCAGCTTAGAAACTGCAAGTAGTCTGTCTGTATAAAAGAACAGGCAAATCTGCACTGCAGCAAGGGTATGCACTGATGTGGTTTGTTGTAGAGGTGTTTCACAGCTGTTTGATAATTTTCTGTATCACTGACGAAGCCTGGTAGCTCAAGGACAGCAGAATGCCACTACAGCTTGAATTCTACCTAAAGATTGTCTGATCTTTGTTTTCCAGACAAATAATCCGTGTCCAATACCACCAGCCTTCTGGAGAGACAGGCAGTAATGGTCCTACTGGAAAAGTAAAAGTTGGTAATTCCAGGGATCTGCAGTTATTCCCTAGCTGAGAACATCAGAAGTATCATCCCCCAACCCTGGCTCCTCCTCGTGTCTGTCCACTAACATTTCAGAAGCCAAATAATCTCATTTTCGAAAGGGAAAGGGGAACTGGATTTTGATATTTGAGGAAGGTTTGCGTGTTCTTACTCCATGTTTATTTTAAATATTGTGAACTATTAAAATGAAAAGTCAGGTTTATTTGAGGAGAATTTTCTTTTTGCCAGTCTCCCTACGTGAAGGTGGGGAGCAGTTTATAGTGCTGACCGTGTTCAGGTATGTAACTGCTCCAGGCTAGCAGAAAGCTTACTGTGAGACGGATAAAAAGCTGTGGTTGCCACCATAATCCTTAGCAGAAAGACAGGCAAGTTTCTAGAACAATAGACTTCACAGTTTAATTGAATTGCTGCTTTCTTGGCATGGCTCTTCCACGTAGTCTCACGTCAGAGGAGTGGATTATCACTCCAGCACCATTAACAAACACTAAGCCGTTTCCCTGTGACTGACGTCGTAGGTGGTTCCTCTCTAGGGTGACTTGGGATCTTGTTACTCTTGATCTTTCTGGATGGAATATTTCTGTAGGTTATTTGTGGGATGGCTCCTCTGACCTCCTGTAAGAGTGGCAGAGGAACTCAGTCAGGAAAATGGGGGTCTGATCTCTTCAGGCCTCAGTCGGGAGCTGAACGTTTCTAAGAATAACACAAGATTACATCCGGTATTCATGTCAATAACAATTAGGTCCACGAAGAAGCAGAGCGGGGAAGGAAGTGTGGGAAAATACCAGCATCACTCATGTGCTGGAACACACGCGAGTGCCGAAGTGTCTCCTGTTGAGCTTTAGCTGCTATTGTAAGGGGATGTTTTGTGCCACATTGCATCAGACTGTCAACAGCTGATGTGGGCTGGTTGCTTTCTATTGTTTCCTGAGCTGCTTCACGCTCAGTTATGGCAGCTTCTTGCTTGGTTGCCACAAGAATCAAGTTGATCTATGTTGATGCAACAAACTTAGGATTGTCCCTCTGGAAAACTTTCCTGCCCAAACAGATCTCCATCTGAGCTTTCTGAGTTTCCAGATGTCTTGAAATTAGCTTTTCTGCTGCTGTTTGAGATGCCCCCCCAAGCGTGTCCAGTCCGTTTCAATATTAGCGATCCAGATTTGAAATGGAGAGGGTGTGCGAAGGGGCCGGGGGACGCGTGCGAAGTGGGTGTGCGAAGGAGGCGCGGCAGGGTAAGGAGGCAGTGTGTTTGATACAGAATCGGGTCTGCAGTACAGGAAGGAAGGGGTGGCAATTGCACCACATGCTGTGTGCCTTCTGGCAAACATCTGGCTGAGATGGACCTTCGGAAGATGTTTCCGAAGCAGTTCTTGGGGGGAGCATGAGCCTTTTGAACAGAATTTTGGACTTCTTATTTCTTGGTTCCTAAGGATCATGATTTCAAGGCTTTCTTTTTTTAAAAGAAAAAAAGAAGCTTTAGGGTCCCATCAATGAAGTGTGCTCTTTCCTTCTCCTGGCAGCGCTCTCCACTCTTGCGAAAAGTACCTCTCTTCCGAACTGCATAGGGCAGGGATCATTAGAAAAGTGAAAGTTAAATGATTTTTTCCTAACCTCTCCACTCATCTCCCCATTTTCATTCCAGCTGGAGAATGTTTAGCTGTTCAAATATAGGTATTCTGGATAAACAAAGATGGTAACAAGGCAAAGGGAAGAATGGGGTGATCATCAGGAGAGGCTGGAGAAGATCTCCTTGGGAATCCAGGGTGCAGTGGGTCCAGAGAGTAAGAGCTGGGGTAAGAAGAGACTAATTTCATTGAACTGGAACATCTTACTAAAAATGGCTCAAGACGCATAGAGAGATGCGGTGCCTCATTTGGCATGAGGGCATTCCATGAATTTCACCATTCCCTGGAGACTCTTAGGCTCCAGGGTTTATTTGCTTTATAGAGCTTTGGAGAAAGTTAAGTTTGATCAGATGCCAGGAGTAATTTTATCAAGAGTTCTTCTTAGGGCCCTCTCCTCAATAGGGCGCTGCTTTTTGTGTGTGCAAATACATGCACTTACGGCTTTGTCCTGCGGAGTTTCTTTTGGATCAGTAACATTTCAAAGCTCTGTGCAAGCCTGAACTGCAGCTCTTGAACAGAGAAGCAGTTTGGCATGGTGGAACAGCTGGGGTTACTGTAGACAGAAAGGGTTTGCCACTGATCCCAGTTGGTGCTAGGAAGCTTACTGTGCAGATGGACTTGGGAGTTATGCGGAGTAGTCTGAATCTTTGATCATTCTTTGAAAAGAGGCTCCGGGGGATGCTCATGGATGTAGAAAAGTCTCTGAGGTGTGGGAGCAGACTGGAGGGTTAGGATTAGATGGGAAATCTTGGTGGTGAAGGAAGACTTGCAGGGTAGGTGTTGGGGAGGATTTCGGGGAGCAGGA